TTGCATCGTTAATAGGCTCCTGGGGACCTGAATTTGGTTTCAGCCGACTGAGAATCTGACAGTATGGGAGGGTGTCCCAGGGGAATCTCCTTTGCGGAGCGTGGGCTTGTGCAATGGTGATACCATCAGCAGTCCTCAGCCTTCGAATTCTACCCCTTTTGACTCCTGACCTGAATGACTTTGCTCTCAAGTGAGTTCACCTCTGTAAGCCTCCATGTTCTCATCATGGGAGACAATCCTCGCTTGAATCTATGTGAGGAGTGGTGACAAGATCTAACAAGTGTCTGACACATCACACAGAACGTACAACAAGGAATCAAAGCAGCCTTATTCTCTGGGTGATGTGATCAGGCGGCTAATACAAACTCAGGGCCTGCTACCGCCTACCCATTTTTCTTTCATTATTTTACTAAACCCTTCCATTTGCCTTGACAAGTAGATTTGCTCTCCCCCACTTTAGAGAGCAGGGGCCACCGTGAGGCCTGGAAACATTCAGTTACTTACCTGGAATGACAGGGAAGTCGATAAGGAAGCAAGCCTGGACTGGTCTGACTTGTGAAGCCAAATTCTGTCACGTCCCATGGCCGTGTGGCTGAGGGATCAAGGAAGCACTGAGTCCAAAGTTGTCGGAACTGTGCCCCACCAGCGTGGCTCAGTGGTTGAGCAGCAAGCTAGGAACCAGGGGGTCCAAGTTTGATTCCTGATCAGGGCACATGTCCAGGTTGTGGGCTCGATCCCAAGTGGGAGGGGTGTGTGTGTGCAGAAGGCAGCCGATCAATGATTCGCTCTCGTCATTGATGTTTCTCTCTCTCTCTCCCTCTCCCTTCCTCTCTGAAATTAAGAAAAACATATTTTTTTAAAAAGTTCTCAGAATTGTGGATGCCAATGGTTTGAAAACAAGTATTATTTAAGGGCCTCCTGTGTTCCCTGATCTGGGCGGAGTGCTAAAAAAACAGTGAATATCAAAGACACACCCCTCTGCTTGTACAGACCAGTGTTTAGCAACAAAATCAGAAAAGAAAATAATTAAAAACACTGACAGATATGCAAATCCTAGCAGAAGAGAAGTCTGGTTATTTATGAGTAAATAGCAGGGCTTCAGAGATTTCCATTCATGGTTTAAGATTGGATTTTGGATATCATGTGAGATTTGGACTCACCGTTGAGGTCTCAGTGGGGAAAAGTTTGGCTGTGGGAACCAAAAATATCTTCGAACCAGAAAGTAAACCAGAATGAGATATGACATGAGATAAGGGGGCTCCCCGGGCCATTAACTCGCCAGCTCAGTGACCTCATCAGAGATCCTCTCTACGACATTGTCTACTGGCCACTCCCCTCCATAGGTCCAAGGGAGCTGTGTCACTTCCTAATTTTACATCCATAAGGGACGCCATCTAACAGAGTGAAGGAGAACTCTTCTCACATCTTGCTTTGGAAAGAAGAAAGCTGTCCCCAGAAGTGGCCCCATGGTCTTCCCCTCACTCCTCATTGGCTAGAACTGCACCAGGTGTCCATTTCTTAAATATCCCTGAATAGCAACCATGGGCTCCCATGCTCCGTGCAGTCAAGTTCATTTGTGGTCCCATGAGCACAGCAGGCTCTCCCCAAACTAGATCAAGGTTCTGACAGAACGGCAGGGGGAGCACATGCTGGGTAGGCAACAACAATATCTATGATGAGTCAAATTATGGGACCGAGGTAGAATTGGGTTAGGGGTCAGGATTGAGATGAGATGTGAGCTCAGAATGGGGAATAAGTTATCATTTGGGGTCTGACTTAGAAGTGAGGTTCAATCCCACTAACAGAAATTGGCTGTGTAGTAGTCATCTGGCAATGGCTCCCATCTCGCTCAAAGGAAAGCCAACGTCCTACCTTGGTCTTCAATCCCTGTGATGGCCAAGTCCTGTGATGTCTCTGACCTCATTGCCCACCCTTCTCCCTTTGACTCATTCAGATACAGTAAAAAAATAAAAACAACTTATCTGCTAGAACATTCTAGGTCACCCCTTCCCTTCTCACCTGATTGTTCGCTGGGCCTGGGGATGGCTAATCCCAAGTAGCTACATGATTCATCCACCACCTCCTTCAAGATTTTGTTCAAAGGTCCTCTTCACGTGGGGTCTTTCCAATGGTTTTATCTCACACTATGACCCCAGAGGTTCATGAGATGGAAGAGAACCAATAATGTCCTATCTATCCTTCTGGTCTTATATTTTCTTCATAACACTTACCTCCACCAGTGCCCACATACAAACATTCACTCGAAATGGATCAAAGACCTAAATAGAACACCTGACACGGTAAATTACATAGAAGGAAACATGGATAATAAACTGATGAACCTGGGTATCAGATAAGATCTTATTAATTTGACCCCAAAGGCAAATGACAATATGGAATAACATGCTAAGCAAAATAAGTCTAACAGAAAAAGTCAAGAACCATGTGATTTCACTTTCTAGGTGGGATATAAAATTGAAAACAACAAAAAAAAAACAAGCAAAAAGTCATAGACACGGACAACAGTGTGGCGGCTACCATTGGGAAGGGGGTTGAGGGGGAGCAAAGGGTATATATTTGACCCTTTAGAAGATCAAATATATGGTGATGGGAGATGATTTGACTCCGGGTGGCGGGCACACAATGCAACATACAGCTCACGCATCGTAGAAATGTACACTTGAAACCCACCCAACGTGGGTTTATAGTTGTGAGCACATGGAATACAATTTGTTCTTGTATTATCATTTATTCATTATTGTATGATTTTCCATACGAACCATGGTAAAGCCTACTTCTCTCCCATGCTGTATAAACGTATTGACCAATGTCATCCCCATAAACTTAATAAAAAGAAAAAGAAAAAAACAGACTACGTATCTTAAGCTTTTATTTTGCTAATCAAGGTCTCCTCCGCCCAACGGAACAAGAGGCTCTGTGAGGGAATTTCCCTGTTTTGTTGATGGTATGTCCCCAGAGGCCGGGATGGTTTCTGGCTCAGTCAATGCAGAGTGGATATTTTTTTGGATGAATGCGATGAGCAAAGGTAAGATGATACAAAGACATTCATCCCATTTTATGGAAAATGAAAACTATTCAAATGCGCTTCAGTGTGAAGAGGATGACATGAATCGGAATGATTCTGCAGTGTGAAATAGCATGCCACCGTATAAAGAAGGCAGAAATAAACGCAGTCAGCGGGGAACATGTTCACAGAGTGAAATAAAAGTCTACATTAGGCAATACTCAGTACAGATATTTTTTTAATATATTTTATTGATTTTTTACAGAGAGGAAGGGAGAGGGATAGAGAGTTAGGAACATCGATGAGAGAGAAACATCAATCAGCTGCCTCCTACACACTCCCCACCGGGGTTGTGTCCGCAACTAAGGTACATGCCCTTGACAGGAAGCGAACCCGGGACCCTTGAGTCCGCAGGCTGACACTCTAGCCACTGAGCCAAACCGAACAGGGCAGTACAGATATTTTTGTTAACAAATGCATAGTAGGGATAGAAATCAGTGTGTACTATGGATAGCAGTAGGCATTTAGTGGGGTGGGGTTGGGAGAGCCCGCCCTCTCTCATTGGTACCCCTATATTAGGGCTGGCGCTGGGTGCAGGCTCAAAGACACGTCTGGGATTCTCTCTAGACCAGTTCCCCCAGGCGGATCAGAGTCAGGGTGTAGGGTCGAGGCCACGGCTGAGAGGGGGCGAGGGCAAGAACAATGGTGGTACACAGTCCATTCCTGAGCCCTGCAGCTCCTGCCCCTCCGCAGGCCTGCACCTGGTCCCTCCCAGGGGAGCTGCCACCAGGGCCAGAATGTGTGGGGGCGAACCGGCTGGGTACCGCCCCCACGCAGCCTCGGGAGGGAGGGTGGAGACAGTGCAGGCCTATTGCTTTAGCTGCCTCAGGGGTTCCAGATAACCACAAATTCAGGAAGGGGGCGTCTCAGAGCTGGCTCCACCTGCACGCGAGGAACCTGGGTGCGGGGCGGAGGCGGGGGTGGGGGCGGCGGTGCTATAAGAGGGCCGCCCTGCACAGGGCTAGACAGGCTTGGCTCCCAACCTCCTCTGCAGCCCAGATCAGA